TACCCATACTTCCATTTTCCAGGGGACCCTTGGGTGGGAGAGATGGCTCCCAAACTCTCCACTGATCTCTACTACATTCTGGGCCGAAGCTTACCTTATTCTGGACTATAAAGAAAGGGCTTTCGAAGCAACATACAATGTTAGCAAGATGGGGAGGGTCGGGGGTATATTAATTTAAGAGAACAAATTCTTCATTGAGATGTTGTGTTTATGCAGATGGATGCTGTTAATTGTAAACGAGTCTTGGTTATTAAAGCAGGCTGGTCGGCGCCTCTCCTGGGAAGTGCTTTGTTAGTGGTCTTTTACAAGTGATGGTATATAATTCATTTTAAATGGTCTCTAATCAGGATTCCTCACCAATTCCTGTCTCACTCTTTCCAGTCAATCAGAATGAATGAAATTTAGCTGCTTCCAGATTTTTCTCTATGTCTTTCTATTTTCCTTATAGCAGGATTTGAATTTAGCAATTGAGAAGGAGAGAGGGAGGGCGGGGGAGGGAGAGACTGACTTTGACTCGGATTCCCCTCTTCTCTGTCTCGACTTTACCATTGTCTTTCTGGCTCTCAGTCCTTTTAGTTACATGTTAGCTAATTCAAAATAACGCCAAGCCTGGAGAGTTTGGAAGCTATTAGATTTTTCCAGTTAACCTGCCGCTCAGGTGAATCTCTTTAGTCAGTTTTCAGCCCATCCTGTCTTCTCTCCAGGATTAGGATGGATTTCTTTCCTCCCTTAACTTACCTCAGCTGCTCTTCTGCTGACCCATACATCAGTCAGAGGAGCTTTCTCTTTCTAAAGTGAAGGGTCCACATGGAAATATCTTATCTCTTGTATGAAATAATATTTTTTAGGTTTCTGCTTTTTCATATTCCCTGCCCTCTTTCCTTACCTGTATAGATTTTCTGTATTTAAGACCTTGGCCTGAAGATCTATTCCATTCATACCATGCACCACCTGGTACTGTCCATCTGAGTTCTGATCAGAGGGGAGATTGAAGAATTGGTCCTTTCTTATTTTTTAAAATTCTCACCCAAGGATAGTTTTTCCATTGCTTTTCAGAGAGAACAGAAGAGAGAGAAAGAGGGGCATTGATGTGAGAGAGACACATCGACTGGTTGCCTCCTGGATGTGCCCTGACTGTGGCCGGGGATCGAGCCTGCAACCGAGGTATGTGCCCTTGGCTGGAATCCAACTGGGACCCTTCAGTCCTGGGCCGGCGCTCTAACCACTGAGCAAACTGGCTAGGGCAGAATTGGTCCTTTTAATGGCTTACATTCTCTCTGCCTCTTCCCTTCTCATTCCTTAAGTTTCCTATGCACCCCACTTCTCAGGTAAGGATGGTTGGTACAGGTCCAAAACTCTGGGGGTTGGTGGGATTTGGCTATTTGGGGCCACTTCTTCATGTCCATTTGGCTCTGGGGCCCTCCTTTACCTGGAAGAAAGCATTCTCCCTCCCTTTGCTTTTTTCCCCCAGGGGCAAGTGGTGGGTTCTAATTCTATAGCAGCTAAATTCCATTCTTTCTGCCCTAACCTACCTGCTTTACCCCTCAGGCCCCTTTTCCTACTGACCAAATTGCTTTACCTTTTCGGGGAAAGAAAAAGTATTTTGTTTTTAAATCTATTTTCTAACTTAAATGCAATTTAATATGTAAATCTCTGCACTTTTGTGTGAGCCTACAAATATGTATGTGTGGTGGATTTTTCACTCTCTGGTATTTCTTAATAAAGAAATCTTTCTTTTTGGGGGAAGCGGATTAATGAAGGAGACTTGAATGGTTTTAGAAATATAGGGATGTGTGCTTCTTTGTGCTTCTGCCTCATTTCTTTACTTGTGCCTAGCATGAGTGGCCGGCCCCCTCCCCCACCTTTTGACCCCCTTCCTTTGAGAGGGCCCTCAGCTGAGTGGGGCGGAGAGAGGGTCCTGTCCTGTGTCTGGTACCCCTCAGGGACAGCTTGGATTGGCTCAAGTGGTAACCTAGCAACCCAGCCCCCATCCCTGTCCCCACGGCCTGGCCCTGTTAGCCCTTTTCTTCCAGCTCAGTTTATTTTATACTCCTGAGGGCGGGGCTAGGTGAGGGGAAGCCATCAAGGGATCACAGTAAATGGCTTTTAAAAAATGAGAATTTGCTCTTGTGCCTTGGTTGTTACTAAAGAAGAGAAATGTTTCTAATAATTCAAAAAGCATTTGTGTCAGTTTTGAGAGTACATTCTAGGACTCGCTAGAATTGTGAATATCATTAGTTTTAAAAGATGCAAGGCCAACTCACAAAAAAGGGAGTCATTGTAAATGTCATGTTTCCCATAAATAGGAGAGTGGGAACTAGAAATCTGGGTCTGTAAACTTCCGAATGGCACATAGGACATCGATGTAAGTGGAAAACCGTAGTGTAATTTACCTGGGCCTAATTATTACACAAATAAATACAAAACATGTTTTTATAGTTTTAATATATACACTCAATTTCCAGGAATGCAACCATTGTGTAAATTCAGGGAAGATGGTACTTTATTTTGTTCAGAACTTTAACAAGAGTTGTGACTTTTGAAAATCATGTCACCAATAGCAATTCCATTCACGGATTTTTAAGTTGCCAGTGCAACGTACCTGTATTAATCTTCCTTTGTAGCAGATGAATTCACAGTGAATCTACATATATAAGTGGAAGCATCTGACTTCTTTCTTATATTTTTAAGTATAGTCTTGCCCAGGCATTTACAAATTGAAATACATATTATTTTTTTATAAGCTACTTGCCTTTTATTTCTCCTTTATATTATAGTTAGTGTATTATATTGCTCTTCAGGAAATTATGTGTATATGCAGGTTATATTAATCATGAAATTTCTTTCAGGTTGGCAAAGGGTTCATTACAAAATATTATATATACCCATGGAGGGTTGCAGCTGACAGGGTTGAGAACCATTGGACTAGATTCTAAATATTTGGAAAAACTTAGAGAGAAAATAAACCTCTTCCTCCCTTCACACCTTTAATGCGCTTTTTAATTTTAAAATTGACACATGCCTATTATTGAAAATTGGGAAAGTATACGAAAGCAAGAAGATTGAAAAATCACCCATAAACTAATTACTAAGGTATAATCATCACTGTTGATGTTTTGGTGTGTTTCTTTCTATTCTTTTTTTGTGCATATATATTTAAAATATGTTTTTATTGACGTTAGAGCGAGAGGAAGGTACAGGGACAGAGAGAGAAACATCAATGATGAGAGAAAGACATTGATCGGCTGCCTCCTGCACGCCCCCGACTGGGGATCGAGCCCACAACCCAGGCATGTGGCCTGACCAGGAATCGAACCGGGGTCCTCTTGGTTCATGGTTTGACGCTCAACCACTGAGCCACGTTGGCTGAGCTGTATGTATGTTTTTAAAGTAACTGGAATTCAACTATGAATATAGTTTTGTAATCCTGCTTTTTTTTTACTTAGCATTTTTCGTATCATTAGAAATTATTTCAAAATATTTCTTAATGACTCTATAATATGTACACAACTCTTCCCCTATTGTCAAACATTTAGCAGTTTCCAATTTGTCATTATTATAAATAATGCCGCAATGAGCTTCTTTATCTGTGAGCATATCTGTGATTATTTTCTTAGGATAGATTCCTAGGGGTGGAATTACTGAGTCAAAGGGAGTGTTCTTTGAAAGGCTTTTGACAAGTAGGGCCAAATTACTTCACAAAAGGCTGTCCCAGTTTGTCCTGCCAAGTAGCGTCTCAGGGAGCTTGCTTCATGTGTCATTTAAACATTTAAACATTTAAACACATCTCATTTAAACATTCCGTAATTTGATCGTTGTAAACCGGTATCTCAGTGTCACTTTCTATTCCTTTCGTTAATAATGAGTTGAAACGTTTTCTGTTTAAACCTCCCTTCCGCCTTATATTTCTTGCCATTTGTATTCTGTGCCTTGGCTGTTCAAGTCTGGTGTTTATTTTACTTCTGGCACTAGGAGGTTTTCTACTTGGTTAATAAATGAGAGCTTGATAGCTCATGCTCCACCTCGGGCCAGGAAATGAGGGGCCCATGATTCAGAAGTGGTTTTACAACTCTGGAACCTGGACTAGAATTACCTCCCTAACATCCCATGCCCCTTCACTTTCTTTTTTCCTTTAAATCCTCACTCGAGGATATTTTTTCCATTGATTTTTAGAGAGAGTTGAAGGGGGAGAGAGAGAGAGAGAGAAGCATTGATGTGAGAGAAACTCATCTATTGGTTGTCCCCCACACATGCCCGGACCAGGGCCAGAGATCAAACCTGCAACCCAGGTACATGCCCTTGATCAGGAATCAAACCTGTGACCCTTTGGGGTGCATGGGCCGACTCTCCATCCCCTGAGCCACACCCATCAGGGCCCCCTTCGCTTTCTTCAAGCCTCTGGTCCCTGTCCATTTTCAGCTACCTGGCCATTCCAATGTGGCTAAAAGGGTTGTATTTTTTGCTCAAATTAGTGACATAATGACTATTTGTCATAAACCCCAGACTCTTTTG